AAAGGTTTATGTTGGGGGGGTGGAACCAATTTTCTTGGATGCAATGATTCAATAATTGCATTGTTGAAGAAATTCAGAAAGGCCCTTACCAAGCAAAAGAACTTTTTGATCCACAATCCCCCTTTTGTCTTATTGATGCAACCTTCTCATCAAGTTATGATCTTTGAATAAGAGTAAATCTTTTGTATTGGTCCCTTCTTATCAAACTATAATCTTTGAATATGAGTAAATTTTTTGTATTAACCATAATATATTATAATATATTCACATTAATTCAAATCTTATAAAATAAAAATTATTAAATTATAAGATAACCGTGACATATATATATATATATGTATCACTATGATATGATTTTTTTATTTTTTCTGGTGTGAGTGCTTTCAAATGGAAAATGCTAATATTTTACATATATATTAGGGTTTGTTGATCATGATTTGACAATTGAAATGTGGGGGGTGGGGATAAAGTTGAATGGGGGGTGACATAAGTGAAAACGATATGTCACAATAGGGATAGTCAGGTAGCGGAGGGAAATGATTTCTCACTCCAAGAAAGGCAATTCTCTTTGGCAAAACCATAGAGAGATAGGCTTTGTAAAGCAAAGTAATGGAAGTTGCACGTCATCAACCCATTGAAAGAGATGGGACAGACAATGAGGGCCAAAAAATGCAAAGTGATACTCTCTCCGTCCATTTTTTTATTTATAAATTTGATTTTTTATTTAATAAAATAAAAATATAATAATTTATTAATAAAATTTTATATTTATTTTTAATGAAATATTATTTAAATAAAAAATTTTGTTTAATATATATTATAATAAATTTTTTAAATAAAAATAAATGTGTTAAATAATCTCTTAAAAAAAGTGTATAATTAAATTTAAATATTTTAAATAAAAAATTAAATCTATTAAAATTAAATAGAAGAAAGATTAAAAACTTTTACTTGCTTTATACCTCAAATAAAATTTTTAATTTTTTAAAAAATTACTATTAAATTACTAAATCATTATATTCTTGTAATAGTTTAGTCCTTTATATCCCACAATTCTATTTTTTTATCTTATAAGATTATACTTTAAATCACTACTAAATGATAGTCTCAGAAACTCAATAAATGGCAATAAGCATCCCCAGCAATCCAAAAATACCCAAATCTATCTATGTGCAAGATGCCTTCATCTTTACTTGGTGTCAAAATTTTAATGGTGGAATAAAATGTACAAACATGAAAAGAAAACCAAAACCCCTTCAACCCCACCTCTATGGACGGATATGAAATGGAATTATTTGGGTGAAAAGTGTGCTGCACCTGAGGACCAAATATTGGGAGGCCCTTAATTTCCCAGCCAATCCAAATATCAATCCCCAAGAAAAAATTAATTTTATCTTTTGCCCATTTCTCTTCATCTATATATTCATGCCTACGCTTTCTTGTTTTTTTAAATCAAGAAAGCCTCAAGCATAAAAAAAGAAAAGAAAAAGAAAAAGAAAAGATAAAGTCATGAAATCAGAAAAAGAGAGGAAATAAAGAAGAAAAAGGGCTTTTTCTTTTCTTTTCTTTTTTTTCCTTTTCAAAATTTCTGCTTTAAATAAATAATTTTTGGGTTATTACAAATAGCTTTTTTTTTGGGTAGTAAGTTATTACAAATAGCTGATATTTAGACCTCTGTGTTTTCTCTGGAAAAAAAACCTCTCTCTTCCCAAATATAGCACACGGACTCTTCAAAGACAGGGACACAAATAGAATAATATTGCAACTCCAAGCACTTATGCAGAGTGGCAGTTTTGAGTTTTCAATCGGAAGGTTTCACCCTCATCTTATCTCTGCATACAGAAAATGCACTAGGGTATGAAAGTCTTCAAGGGGCCTGACTTTGAGTCCTCCATCACAGCTCCACCATTGTTTCTCGGTGAGTTTTAGCATTCTATATCCTCTGGATTATGGAAAGATCATTTATTTTCATTCAGTTTTGTGAAATTTCTGAACTTGGTGCTGTAATCTAATTGTTTCCTTTTCTTTTTGCTTATTTTGTGTCATTTTTTAGATTTCCTGCTTAACTTCTAGATACCCAGTTTATTGTTTTGATTTATTTCGATGTTTTATTCTTCCCCAATAAGAGGGTATCTGTTTTGGCTTTGTTTCTTACTCCCCAGCTTTCAAGATACCCTTTTTCTTCTATTCTCTTTGAGTTTTTATCTGCTATTTCAGCAAGGAGAAGATGGAGCTTGGTAGTAGTGTTCTATCAGGGCATTTGTTTGCCTAGATATCTTTATTAAATTGTTCTCTCTTTCTAATTGGGTTTGATGAATGTGCTGCTTTTCATTATGCATATACTCTTGGGTGACTGTTCATATACTTCATGGTAATGAGATACCATATAAAAGCATAGAAAATTGATGTGTTAGTTTTCTATTTATCTGAAGTTTCAGAGTGCAAAAAAGATGCACCTTTTATTTAGTTTTTCCCTTCTTTTATGGTGCAGAATATTGGTTTTCAATTAGATGCCACTTCTATTTCTTATCTTTAATGGAATAGTATACAAAGAGTTAATGTTGTTCACTGATTCATGTGAATCTGATTTAGTTTTGAATTATTGGTTGGGATAATGAATTTTGCTGCCTTTTGGTTCTCTTTCTTATGGGCTAAATGAGTGATATTGTTCGTGGTCTGGGTTACCTTTTGTTTGAGTTTTTTAATTAAACTCAGTCATATATATGGTTTTGACAGAATTTGAATTGGTTTTGTTTAGGAGAGCTGAAAGATGGACAGGGCAAGGTTAGATTTAAGATCTCATCACTCAGGATCATCACAATCAGAGGAGTCTGCTTTAGACATGGAAAGAAATTGCTGCAATCTTCCTAACCTGCCTTCTTCAAGTCCTTCATCTCTTCAACCCTTTGCATCCGGTGGTCAGCATTCAGAGAGTAATGCTGCTTACTTCTCATGGCCAACTTCAGGCCGATTAATTGATGCAGCAGAAGTCAGGGCAGACTATTTCGGTAACTTACAAAAAGGTGTTTTGCCAGAGAGTTTTGGGAGGCCATCAGGGCAGCAAGCTACTACCTTGCTTGAGTTGATGACCATTAGAGCATTCCATAGCAAAATATTGCGTCGATTTAGTCTTGGTACAGCAATTGGGTTCCGAATTCAGCGTGGGGTTTTAACAGATATACCAGCTATTCTTGTCTTTGTTGCCAGGAAAGTTCACAGGCAATGGCTAAGCCACATACAATGTTTACCAGCTGCCCTTGAGGTGAGAATGTCCAGCTGCCACGTTGCTTTTAATGGAAGAAGTAATGTGGTTTCTTTCCATTTCTTTTTCTATTTTTCCATGTTTCTTTCTCTTTGCAATGTGTTGGGAGAAGCTTATTGTTTAACATATTGATATTGTTGGAATTGAAATACTAAAAGATCAATTAAAAACTTTTTTTTTTTTATGCAACTGAAAAAGGAAATACACTATGCTAGATCCTTCTTCATATCCATGACTGACCCATCTTTGATTGATTTATATGTTATGTGGAAAGTTTAAATGCCTCTCTGATATGTGGGGCAGGGGCCAGGAGGTGTTTGGTGTGATGTAGATGTTGTGGAATTCTCATATTATGGTGCACCTGCACCAACACCGAAGGAACAATTGTATACTGAGCTCGTAGATGGCTTGAGGGGAGGTGACCCATGCATTGGTTCAGGTTCACAGGTAGTCCTTGTCTAGGAAATATTGTTATTTTGTATCCTTGTTAAATGACACAAGGGAAGAAAGGATTTTTATGTTAATAATATATATCCTATAATTCAAATGAAAGCAAATGGCAATTAAACAGTGTGTCTGTGTGTCAATAGGGAACATGAGGATTTATTGTTTGAAAATTAACTATAAGTGTTTTCCTTGTGAATGGCTTTTAAATCCAATAGTAATTAATTGGGTATTTGGTTGGCATTGTTACAATTGCCTTGTCTTTTGAATGTGTAATCTTCTGTTTGCTATGTTACAGCTGATTTTTTCCTTCTCAGTCTTTTGTAAAGTGTGAAAATTCTTTCCTTTTAAGGGATAGTTTTCTGCTTTCATTTTCCTCTCATTCTCTACCTTGAATCTAGATTGACTTCTATATGGCTGGTCACTTACTTTCATTTTCATTCTTAATCCCCTGATTTGCAGCTTTTCACTTATGTAGGTTGCAAGTCAAGAGACATATGGAACACTGGGTGCCATTGTGAAAAGCCGAACAGGGAATCAGAAAGTTGGTTTTCTTACAAATCGCCATGTTGCTGTCGACTTGGATTACCCAAATCAGAAGATGTTTCATCCTTTACCACCTAGCCTTGGGCCTGGAGTGTACCTCGGTGCTGTAGAGAGGGCAACATCATTTATCACAGATGATCTTTGGTACGGCATCTTTGCTGGCATGAACCCAGGTAATGCAGTTCCAAATATTAGTTGTCTGATGAGTTCTCCAAAATGAACTTGTTTGATCATTGATTCAGAACTTTCTTCTTCTTTTTAGATAAAATGTAAAGCAGCTTAAGTATAATAGGCTGCTACTGTCAGTTTACAGACCACATTAAATTCAACCTGTTACAAAGAATCAACATATATCAAAGAAGACTAACTTCAGTTACAGTGGGATCATGTTGAAATCAATAGTTAACTACACTTATAGAAAATTTTTTTAATGATAAATTTATGAAAAGCTAAAGGTTCAGTTCAGGGGATTAAGATTTTAGTTTTATTTTTAAAAAATGATTTAGACGGTTCTAATTTTTCCAACTGTATAATTTCACTAGGGAAGACATTATTCCTAGCAGAACCATGTAGTTTACACTTGGAGTGGCATAAATTTATACACTGAATCAAATTGATTAGGTATAAAAAGCAGCTGCTGATGGCCAAAACGAAAAAGAAAAACCCAGCTGCTGAACTCTCCCCATAATGAAAATTTTGTATCTTTGAAGGTTTGTCTTTTCTTTGTGAACCAATTTATTCAAAGAGTTTGAGCTAAACACCTCAAGTTGGTTTTATGTTATCATTTTATTAGGAGTCAAGTACTGTTTTAACCAGGACTTTTGCAAGAATTAGATATCTACAATGAACCATATGTGTCTGTCATTAGTGTTTATAAAGTGAATATTTCTTGATTAAATTTAAGTGTTTTCCATGGGTGACCAAGATACCTAATATGTGTGCTTTGCAGCCAGAAACAATCAGTCCTGTCAGGAGGAAATATATTCAGCTTTACTTATTTATTACAAGTTTTAAACTAGGCCAGGCTTATTTGATACTGACATACCATTAAATGTTAATCACATAAACATTTTGAGGCAAGAGTCTTTCTTCTAGACTCTCATCTGAATTGCTATTTCCTTTGTCCTGAGAATCACTGACTTACTGATTGCTTTAGCTTCTTTATCATAGTTAATATTGAGGAAATAGTGTTGAAGCATTATTATTTTCAATTCACATACATTTTAATGGGTTTCTTATTGCACCCTGACACCCACACATCCATTTGTTGCCCCTTCAGAAACATTTGTTCGAGCAGATGGTGCCTTCATTCCTTTTGCTGAAGATTTTGATATGAACAATGTAACTACATATATAAAGGGGGTGGGTGAGATTGGTGATGTTCATAACATAGACCTTCAGTCTCCAATTAGCAGTCTCATTGGAAGGCAGGTTGTCAAAGTAGGGAGAAGCTCTGGCTTGACCACTGGGACCATAATGGCTTATGCTTTAGAGTACAATGATGAGAAAGGGATTTGTTTTTTCACTGATTTTCTTGTTGTCGGTGAGAACCAACAAACATTTGACCTTGAAGGTGATAGTGGAAGCCTTATTCTATTAACGGGTCAGAATGGAGAAAAGCCACGGCCTGTTGGGATCATTTGGGGTGGGACAGCTAATCGGGGTCGGTTGAAACTGAAAGTTGGCCAACCACCTGAAAATTGGACAAGTGGAGTTGATCTTGGGCGCCTTCTGGATCTCCTCGAACTCGATCTCATTACAACCAATGATGAGCTTCAAGGTTTGTGCTTTTCTAAGTTAAAAGAGTAATGTCATTTGGGTTAGTCTCACAGGTTGCAAATATAGTGATTCTTACAAATTATCCAATGAGATGACACTATCCTTCAAACAGCAACATTCAGCTAAAAGTTCTAGACATTGAAATGAGAATTTTTTTTCTGGGGTTTTACAAAAAAAAAAATAGATGACGGCGACCAAGATGGTTAAGTGCTAAAAGGATGTACATAATGTTGAGTTCTCGACATTCACTTGTGTACCTTTTTCCTATTTTGATGCTTATTCACCTAGATGTTAAATAGCTTGATATTTTTAGGCAGAAATCTTTTTGTGCAAATATACTGAAAACTGTAGGAAGAGAAATGATCAAAGAAATGCTCTGTTTATTTCTATGGTTAATATTACTTCATATGTTCTCTACTGACACATTTGCGATATTCAGCTAGAAGCACTAAACATCCTTTGTTTAGTGATACCTTTTTATTTTCATCTTGTTGTTTTAGCTGCAGTGCAAGATCAAAGAAA